TACATGTACTATGTAATTTAACTCCTCGTCTGATGACGTCATCATCACGTGAGGTAAATCTTGGGCTAAAACACTTCCTTTTCTTGTTATCTGCAAAGTTTCAACTCGATGAGATTTTTATTTAAGGAGATAGAGGGCCTTAAACAGTGAATTTTAAGGTCATAGGACTCAAATGAGATCATTAATCATCTAAATCTTTTCTTTTCCAAGATATCAGGGAGGTTTGAACCCAATTGGACATGTATTTCACAAGATGTGGTATTTTAAATAGTGCACCTTTAATGTCACATGACTTGTCACAACGAAGCCATCTTAACATCAAGTCAATTTTTGTCTAAAGTACTCGCCTTCTAAGATATCTGGAAGGTTTGGACCGAATCGGATAAGTTCTTCAGGAGATAGCGTGTGTTGAGGAGAGCACCTTTAATATCACGTGACTTATCACAAGATGACGTCATCATCACATCAGGTCAATTTTTTCCTAAAGCACTTCCTTTCAAAGATATCAACAAGGTTTTAACCCAATCCGACATGTACGTCAAGATATAATGCTTAGAAGAGTGCACCTTCACGTGACTTGTCACCTGATGATGTCATCATTACATAAGGTCAATAATCATCTAAATCACTTCCCTTTAAAGATATATGCAAGGTTTGAACCCAATTGGACATGTACTTCAGAAAATATAGTACTTGAAAGGATCAAACTTAAATGTCACGTGACTCGTTTGCTGACGATATTGTCATCAACTGAGGTCAATCTCCATTTAAAAACCTTCCCTTTCTAACTATCTGCCAGGTTTCAAACCAATCAAACATGTACAATTCACAACATTATTGTTGGGGAAAGTGCACAGGTTAGAGATTTTAAACATTTGTCCCTTTTGGCGTTCCATACAATGGGATTTGCTCTCGGCACTACGCGCTTGGCAATTTGCCAGGTCCTGAGTATATGCCCTACTTACTGTGCGCTGCTGCAGCAACATGTTACAGGCAGATATTGACCGCCCGCACAAACAGCAGCTTATCCACAGTACGTGAAAGAGATTTTCGAGTTTGCAAATATTTTAAGGGGGTTTTCGTCGTCAGCGCTTCATCTGTATGAAGAAGTACACTACTTTATGCACTACATGCAGTTGACTTGAATGTTTAAGCTATCATTTAATGAACAGTTCATGCTTAAATCTGTTACGGTTGATTTTAAATCGAAATTTGAAGAATAAAAGAACTTTTTATCATAACTTCCAATCAGATGACGTCATCAGCCCCAACTGTCACACATGTGTTACCTCGGTTAAGATCATCATCTACATCAATTTTCAGGCGATTTGGACAAACTTTGCCACAGCATCCATTCAAAATTCATTTTTTAGAATTTTTAACCTGTCGCTAGAGGGCGCTCGGCAACTACGTGATTTCATCAGTAGATGATTTGAAGAATGCTATACCCCAACAGAGTAATGCCATTGAAAATAACTTGACACCTATTACCAATTTTTTATTAATTGAACAACAAGTCCACTTCCAGTTTCAACGGGAAATAAGGGTCACGTGATTTGACCCACACGAGATGAATTGAACACCCAATTTTACTTTGGCACTTGCCGCAAACAGAATGCTGCGGGAGGCCACAGTCAATTTTATATGGAGTTTTACAACATTAACATGATATTTAAATATTCATAATTTAATAATAAATCACTTGGTGACGTCACCAAAGCTGCTCCTTTATGATGTCATGTGATTTGCGTTTAAACTGAAAGAAAATTCTGAAATATTTGATATTCAGACTCTTGGGTAGACATTTAATCAAATGAAGACAAAAAAATACTATTTTTTTTTTTCATTCTCAGAACAATTCTCAGCCGAAGTTCAGCACTACTCTCATTAAGATAGATAATATTGCGTAGTAGAAAAACGTGTACAAAACCTATGGGGTAAACTCCGGCTTTAATCTCATATCACGTGACCCCTGATTTTTTCACAATTTTTTCTTTGGAAGCCTCTCTTCATTAGAGACTTCAAGTGTACATTGAAGGAAATAATTCAGATTGACCAAAGTGCCGAGGACAGACTGATGAAAAACGTGTACAAAACCTAAGGGAAGACTAAATATCCAAAAAATCAATTTAAAAATAGGTGATGACATCATCATAACGTCTTAAATTTAGCAAAATTCTTTCATCAGGGTCTTTGTTGCCTGTAACTTTGAAGTTGATCTAACCTCTCAAACTAACCTAAATGCTGACTCGAAAACATGTACAAAGTCAATGGGCTGAAATAAATATTGAAACATCAATACTAAATAACATGATGACGTCATCATGACGTCATTTACTTACAATAACTCTTGCATCAGGGTCTTTGTTGGCTGTAACTTTGATAACGATCAAACATCGCAAAGGTTTTAAAATTATGCCTTGAAAACGTGTAGAAAGTCAATGGGAAAATTTAAATATTCAAAATTCAAAAAGAAATCACGTGATGACGTCATCATCACAAATTTCTTTGAAGACCATCCTTGGATGATTGTCCAAAGGTCTTGCCGAAACAGCTAAAAAGAAAAAAAAAAAAAAGAAACACAGGCTGTTTCAGATTTGGCTGTTTTAGTGAAATCGTATTATAAAAGAAGAATGTTTGTAAAAAATAGCTCTGATATGATAATATTACAGTTTCATGGAATACAGCTGAGTTGCCAAAATATATTGGCTATATATCTGTGTTGAAAGTCAATTTGAAACAAAACCCCAAAATCATTAATAAATTCATTATTGTCATAATGACATCATTTTAACTGTATCATATCACCATTTGAGTCCATCCTTGATGCAACTATAATTTAAAAAGAACAATGTCTTTTAAAGGTTGAACATTCCATTCTGATCAGACATGCATGCAATGGATAACTTTTAATTGTACGTGACCTGTCACATGATGTCATCATCACGTGAGATCAATATTGCTGTAAAATACTTCGTTTTCCAGTTACATGCAAAGTTACAACACGATTGGATGTGTACTTCAGGAGATAAAGAAGTTTAAAGATGGTACCTATAGTGTCATGTGACATGTCACGTGATATCATCATCATCACATCGGGTCAACAGTCCTCTAAAACACTTTGTCCTGAAGTAATATGCAAGGTTTCAACCCTATTAAATTGCAGTTCAAGAGATACGGGTCAGTAAAGAGTGCATCTTTAAAGTCCCATGACTTGTCGCATGATATTATCATCATAACATGAGGTCACTTTTCCTCTATAAGACACTTGTGCGCGCCATCTATGTTGCAGGCAGATATTGGGCATCCACACGTGCATAGTAACATATATGGACAGCATGCTAATGGGATTTTCGAGTTGGCAATTTATATTTAGGGGTTTTTTGTCAACGGCGCTTCACGTGTGTGAAAAAGTACACCAGTTATGCACTTCATGCAGCTGACTTCAATGTTTTAGCTGTCATCTCATGCACAGTTCACGCTTATATCTCTTACGGTTGATTTTTTACCGAATTTTGAGGAATAAAAGAAGTTTTTATTGTAACTTTGTTTTCCTGATGACGTTATCAGCCCCAAACTTTACACACATATTGATTGGGTCAAGATGGTCATCTACATCGATTTTCAGGTGATTCAGACAAACTTCACCACAGACATCAATTCAAAATTCATTTTTCAGAATTTTCAACCTGTCGCTAGAGGGCACTCGACAACTAGGTGACATCATCAGTGGATGATTTGAAGAATACTTTGACCCAACAGACAAGCACTGTTGAAAACAACTTGATACCTATTACCACTTTTAAACAATAAGGCCACTTCCGGTTTCGACCAGAAGGAAGGGTCACGTGATTTGACCCACATAAGATGAATTGAAGACCACATTTTATCCTGGCACTTGCCGTAAACAGGATATTGCGGGAGGCCACAGTTTATTTTATATGGATTTTTATACATTTAACAGAATATTTAAATATTCAGAATTTAATAATAAATCACTTAATGATGTCATCATGACGTAAATATTTCAGAATTATATTCGCTTTATAGTTAGTGCTTGCTGTAAGTTTGATGACGATAAACAATTACTAAGGTACGGAAATGGTGCCTCAAAAACATGAACAAAGTCAGTGGGCTAAAATAAATATTGAAAAATCGATAATAAGTCGCTTGATGACATCATCATGACGTTTAAGGGTTTTTCCTTGGTATAAGTTTGATGAAGATCGAAAGTTGCAAAAGCACTAAAGTGGCGGTGACAAAAAACATGTACAAAACAAATGGGCTTTTGAGCAGAAGAAGAAGCAAAAAAAAGAACAAAAAGAATGCCTTTTTCACAAAATTGCGAAAAAGTAAAAAAAAACTTTAACGAAAACAAAAGCTTTGCCGGCTCTTGCGGAAACAGCTAAAAAAACCCTTGACAAAAAGAATGCCTTTTTTGCAAAATTCCGAAAAAGCCAAGAAGAAGAAGGTCTTCAAAAAAAACTTCTACAAAAGCAATAGCTGCTTCGGCTGTATACCGAAGCAGCTAATAATGAAAACAATAACTTTTCTGGCTGTGAACCAAAACAGCTAATAAGAATGTTCCCTGGGGATAAAAAACTATTTAGCTGCACACGTCATCAGGGAGTCTAGGTTTCATAGCATGTGTGTGTACATGCATGTTGCAGTTTACTTTGTTATGAGAAAATTTAGGGGAAAGTAAAAGCTCAGATAACTGACTCAAAACAGGTGGCCTCAAACCAGCCTCGACTTCTTCTTTGAGTCCAGAGGGTACCAAGGCCAAGGCTTTGGAACTGGCTTCGAGGCCGGTCCTAAGACTGGAAATTACCTAGAATTGTTTTGGAGACATTTGATATGGGATGTTAATACTTGTTGACACACATCATTTGTAACAGATATGACACAACACCCTAATTTTCTCAATACCCCTAAAAACTTTCTAGACCACAAATTAGAAAATGATTCTCGTAATTTTTTCTGTGGTTCTTTTGTTACAGAGGACGGGACTTCATATGGAATCACCTTCATATGGAGGATGTAACATGTTACTGGAAAAAGCTACTGAAGGAATATTCTAAACTCATAAAGTATAAAGTGGTACGAAACCAGGAATTGCAGCAGATACTGCCAAAGGAAAAATAAAACATAAACCATACAGTGTATGGTAAATCTGATGTCAATCTGTTCTATTTTCATACAAATATATGCTGTCATATTTTTTTTACATTTCTTGAAATAAATGCCACATTATTTGAATTTGTGCCCCACACAGCATGAAACTCGATACCAAATATTGATTTCGAGAAACATCAATGAATTTCATTTATTAGCATTGAATTGAAAAGATATTTCAATTGCTTGTGATTTAGATGTTAAAATAACTGGGGGAACTTTTTAAAAAACGGTAAGTAGGTTAAATAACAGATAATTAGGGGCTGCACAAAAAACTGCTTATAGAAATATTTCCAAAAAGTGAAACAATTTTTCAATTATTTCCAAGGACAGTAATATGATGATGAAATTACATGAATGTCTGCATTTTGGAAGTAAAAGGCATTGGAGTTAGAACCAGATTCTTGTCGAGAAGGAGCTTGATTTCAGTAATGCAGGTTCTTTTTGGGTGGACTGAAAAGAGTAAACATGTATTTCACCGGAAAAATGAAGAGCATGGGGAACTGGCTTTTTGTTAAGTTCATTCGAGATTTAGGTACAGTAAGTGGATGAAATCTGGCAATCAATTCACTCAGCCTAGAATATTTCCATCATCTATGTCAGTTCTTGTTCATGAGCAAAGATGTCCACTCAGATAAAAAATGGCAAACTAATGTATTGTATTTTCGGTTTCAAAAAGTAAACTTTCAGAGAACTGTTGACAACAGGATCTTTTACAAAATGAAGCAGGGGCAAGAAAATATTCTTTGTTTGCGGCAGTCATCATAAAAAAGAAGTTGGGAGCCTATATTTGTGTCTATATTTTGTCTAAAAACTTCAAGATATTTTTTCCCAACACTGAATTTGCCTCCTCCAAAATCAACTGGGGGGCACCACAAAAGGACCCTGTTGGGTATCCATGTTTACTGGTTGTATTCAGTCATTGTCTTTTTGCTACTTTTCAAAACCTTTCCTTTGTGGAACAGTTGGATGTTATCAATTATGTTAATTGAAATGATTTTTATGCCTTACCAGTGAACTTTATAAAGGGGCATATTATTTCTGCCTTGTCCATCCATGGGTGTGTGTCCACAATATTCTTGTCAGTGTAAATTGAGAATATCTTTCCGTAAGAACTTCAAGTTTGGTTTATGGATTACTCTTGGTGATCCAAGAAAACTGATCACATTTTAGGCCCAAAGGTCAAGGTCAAATAGAAAGGTTGTCAGTGTGATGACTTGAGAAATACTTAGCATTTGAATTTCTCTTCTATTATGTGGCTTGCTCTTGATGATACTAGGAGGCCTGTTGCATTTGGATCTGAACGTCGATGGTCAAAGTCACTTTACCTGAAGGACCCTGGAAATGAATTTTTATTAGAATCACCTTTTGTGTATCTCTGTACTCTTCTTCAATGTATGAAGAATGACATCTTTTTTTAATTACGTGAATTGAACGGTGCACTTTTTTAAACATGACCAAGCATTTCTGGCAAGTGAGGGTGCTTTTGCTTTGATGTGAATCCGGGAAGACATGGTTCAGGTTGCATGTTTTCAGGTTCAAATTGTGAACCAAAAATTTGCTATCTGGGAACATTTCTGTAAAAAAGGCTTTTGCTGGATTATTGCCATATACTTAGCAATAAATTGCCAAAGAAAATGAAATCTGCCATAGCAGTGGTAAAAAAAATCTAGAGATTTTCTGTGTACAAATCAGTGCACCAGTAAGATTCAGTGCCCCTGATGACATCACAGTTTTGTTCGTGAATCTGCAAATAGCATTAGCAGAAAAACCAAAAAGGCATCAAAACAAGGGGTAAAATTGCAAAACAAAATTTTAAAATGAGGTTAATTGAAACCCAAATGTGCAATTTCAAGGGTTTTCAATAAAATTCATGAAAATATTTCTATTGCCTGGTTCCTTTAAACTATAGTAATCTTGTCAGTGCAGTAACTTGAGAAAAATTTTGTGCAGAACCTGTTTCCTTCATCCAACAAGCTTATTGCATTTAAGCCTGGAAGGTCGGTAGTAAAGGTCACCATGGCTGAAACGACAACTCTTGTGCTTTTAATATGCAAAATTAAACTTGTGGGCTTAGACGTGGGTTTGGCTGAGTGTTTGTGCTATTTTGGACTTCATTCTTGTTTCATGAATAATTTAGCAAATGATTTTGTTCTTTCTTTATTTACAGAAGTAAATAGTGGAAAAGAAATGCTTTGTAATTCATTTTTCACAACAAAAATGTGCTTTATGCTTTGTGCCACTATAACCAGCATTTCTGCCTTAATTCCCATATACTGCAATCTTAAACTGTCCTTGTCAAAGTCATTTTATTTATCATTTAGTTAATAACATGATAGCCCAAATGTAAGTAGGTCAATTTTAAGGCCACTCAGTTATGTTACAAGTAAAAATGGATACACTTTAAATTAAAGGATTGTTTACTTAACTATGAGGCCACGTAGGTCTTTTTACTAAGTTTATGATTTGTGGTTACTCCCTGAAGAAAAATAGCAATACATATATTTTTCTTATTTTGGGGTTAAATATTTAGCATGTAGTTATAGATTGTTCATTATGGTAAGTGGGATTAAAAAACTCTGGATTTAAGTTTACTTGGTTCTGAAATGTGTGATTTTGTTTTTGCTACAACTTAAAAGTACTCAGTATTCATTGTTCTCAATTGGCATGCATTACAGGGAGTTCTGTAATAACACTTTTCTATCGAAAATCCAAAATGCACTCCCTATACTGCATGTGTTATGGAACATAAAGAACTTACCACAAGGCATAAAAACAGTTCTCAAATCTTGTCCTCTATGTCCCACTTTGGACCCTTTATTCATGGGGTGATCTATGAACAAGAGTCCTGGGATAGCTTAAAATGTAATGATTAAAACCACACAATCTTTGTCACAATCTTTGCCTTTAAATTTCCTTAAAAGTACGGGTAATCATGATGTACTTGATCCATTAAAGGTGGGGTCATACTTGATTTTTATCTGAAAGCATAACTGGTATAGAGATGGAATAGTAATCAACCTGTGAAATTATTTCGTCTGAAATGTCCCTGTTGATTAGAAATCAGTGAAAGTATGTAAAAAATTTGAATCTCCAAAAGTCACCTTTTGGGACATTCATGTTGTGGTCCTTGGAATGCTGCCCTCACGCAGTGAAAATCTGCCAGCCGATTTCTAATGGGGGCAAGCGTCTGCTAATGGGCGCACTGCATTCCCGTTGACCTTCCATTATGGGTGCACCCTCGCAAACAGGCCCTAAATATGTCCGCCGAGCTCATTGATAAAAGTTATACACTCAAAATATTCTATATTAGAGAGTCCTGAGAGCCATGAAATTAAGGAATTGGA